TCCTTTCCACCCTTACTCCCCCTCCCTCCATCTTCCCTCCTTCCCCTTGCTTCCCTTCCTCAATCTTTCTTCTTTTCTTCCTTCTCCCTCCCTCCTTCCCTCTTCCCTCCCCACTCCCTTCCCTCCCTCAATCTTCCCTTCCTCCTCCCTCCCTTCCTTCCCTCCCTCCTTCCCTCTTCCCTCTCCTCCCTCCCTCCCTTCCATCCATCCATCCATCCATCCATCCAGGTGGGTGCTCACCTTCGCCAGGCATTTGACCCACTCCCGGATGGCCTTGGGGTTGTCCAGGCCAAAGAGGTAGAGTCTCTCCGCCTCCGTGTACATCTCAAAGGTATTTGCATACCTGGAAGGAGAGACGAAAGACAGAAGTAGGAAGGATTCTCTGAGCAGAATGAGGGCCGGGGGGTCCCTGGGGGTCCCTGGGGGTCCCTGAGCCGAGCAGGCGTTTCACAGCCCAACTAGGGAACGTCATCAATGCTAGAAGGATAGGAGGTTTCTGGAAAGGAGGAAGAGAAGGAGAAAGAGGAAGAGGAGGAAGACTGTGGGGTCCTGGGTGCTCTCTGAGCTGGGTGGTTTTCTGGCAGACGTTTCATGACCCAACTAGGTAACATCATCAGTGCTAGAAGGGAGGAAGGTTTGCAAGAGAGGAGGAGGAGGAGGAGGAGGAGGAGGAGGAGGAGGAGGAGGAGGAGGAGGAGGAGAACCAAGCTCAGAGAGCACCAAGGACGCTCACCATCCTCTTCCTCCTCCTCCCTCCTCCCTCTCTACAAACCCTACCGCCTTCTAGCACAGACGGTGTTCCTTAGTTGGGTCATGAAACATCTGCAAGAAAACGACCCAGTTCAGAGAGCACCCAGGACCCCACAATCCTCCTTCTCCTCTCTGTAAACCCCCCCTTTGGGAGGGTCAAACATGGGCCGAATCAGAAGTTCTGAAAGTCCGGAAACGGGCCTGTTTCTGGCTTCCAGAGCCCGGGGGAGGCGGTTCTTGCCTTCCCAGAGGCCCGAGGGAATCCTCCGGACTTGGGTGGAGGCGAAAAACGGCCCTCCCGGAAATTCTGGTATTTATTTAATTTATTTATTTAATTTGTTTATTTTATTTATTTATTTTTATCAATCGCTTACAAGATAATAGGTATAAGTATATACATAGTTATGAATCCATGAAATGGGTACATGTAAGAAAAATAAAAAGAAACAATAGGACAGGGACGGTGGGCACGTTGGTGCGCTTATGCACGCCCCCTGCAGACCTCTTAGGAAAGGGGTGAGGTCAATAGTAGACAGGCTAAGGTTAAAGTTTTTGGGGTTTGGGGAAGAAACTACAGAGTCGGGTAGAGGATTCCAGAGACTGACCCCTCTGTGGCTGAAGTCGTATTTCCTGCAGTCAAGTTTGGTGCAGTTTACCTTGAGTTTGTATCTATTGTGTGCTCTTGTGTTGTTATGGTTGAGGCTGAAGTCTTCATTGACAGGTAGGACATTGCAATGTATGATTTTATGTACTATACTTAAATCAGACCAAAGACGGCGTAATTCAAGGTTTTCTAGGTCTAGAATTTCAAGTCTGGTGGCATAAGGTCTTCTGCAACGAGTAGAGGAGTGGAGAACTCTTCTTGTGAAATATTTCTGGACTTTCTCAACTGCGTTAATATCAGATGCCTAAATGCGGGTTCCAGACCGATGAGCAGCTGCATTCCAGTCTTGGTCTAGCAAATGTTTTGTATTCAAACATGGCCCCGCCCTGTTTGAATCTCCCGCCCACCCCCCAACCGGGATGGAAGCATCAGCCGGTGGCTCACCCATGTGTGTCCGGCGGGGGAGTGGCGAGGCAGACGACTTCCTGCATCCGGAGCTCTCCGTTGGGGACGGTGTGCGTGTTGCTCTCGTAGTAGTTGAAGAGACCCTCGTGCAGCTGACACCAGCGGCGGCTGAACTCTGGAGGGGGGGGG